AAGGAATAGGCCCAGCACGTTTGGACCACAAAAGGAAAAAACAGGTCCTCACTGAGTATCTTCCACAACTATTTTGTGTAAATAAGCAAAATAAACTGTGAAGCATATAATAAAAACCAGCTGTCTACACCCCACCCCTCCCCAGCGCTGACTCCCCAAAGGCCTACATGCAACTCAGCTGTTTGATTCCTGTTACTTGCCTTCATGTTTCTAACTTGATTAGCTTTAAATATCTGTGTATAGCTTACTTAAATATTATTTATCACTACAGATATTGGCTTCTAATTCCCGAGCTATACCACACTAAGCCAGTCATCAGTATTTGTTATTTGAGGTAACAGCTCTGATTATTGCTATTTTACTTCTTTCTGAAATTGTGGGGTTACATTATTTAACTTCTGTCTACCATCCTTTCACTACAATTTTCTACATCTGATCATTTGTTGGTTTCATTTTTTTCCTAAATGAGTGACCTCTCTTATGAGTCCTCTCTTCCTGATCCAATGTGGACTGGTTATTCTCTAGACTTGGATAAAGCTTCCAATGTGAAACTCCCTTAAAAGAAGTCCTTGAGCTATTGCCTAAGGCCCTTTACTATTTTGCTTCTCTCCTTCACTCCCTTGTCTAAGAGCACTTTCAGTTCCTTTTTAAGACGGAGCGTTGGAGGGATATTTTGCCTGGGTATATAGAATTCTCAGTTTAATGACATTTCCTAGAAATTCAAAGGCATCTTTCTCTTCTAGTGTCTGGCAGTATTAAGAAGGCTGGTTTTTCTTTCTGGCTTGTAATTCACAAAAAAAAATTGTGGTTTGTGAGATCTTTATCTGCAGTGTCCTAAATATGTCTTGATTTGGACCTTTTACTCAATAATTATGTTGGAATTATTTTCTTCAGTTTTGGGAAAAATGTGTTGTTAGAGTTTCTCCTTACCACATCATCCCTTCCTATGCCCAGTTTTTCTGATCTTTTCTGGAAAGACTTCTGGATTGACCCTCCACTATTTTATCCTGTTAAATCTTTTAAAAGATTCCCTTAATTTTGCCTACCAACTCTTCCAGTGAACCTTCTTATGTTTTTGAAATAGCATCTATCCTTACATCTTGGGTGCAGTGTCTTTTACTCTGAGGGCATGTTTACTTCCTTTAGGGTTCAGTGCATGGAATACTTGTTTTATGCCTATTAGAGGCTGTCCTCTCATATCAGGTGGTGTTGACTGGGTCACATTTAAAGGTGGGGCACTTGCTTTATGCCTGTGGGCTTTAATTCAGGGTTAATCTAAAGAATCCTCTTCTCTCACATCTGAGTTAGTTAATCAAGTATCCTGGGAACAGAGAAGGGTAGTGGCTAAGAGCTTCCCATTTTCAGTTTCAGACTGACCTGTTTTAGACTTTCACTTTCAGCAGTCAGACATAATTCCCTCATAAAGCCTTGTCATAAAGGGCTTTTGGAGAAATGACTGTTGAGGCAGGAGCAAGCGGGTAGCATGGAATTGCTGTCACAATAACTTTACTGAGTTTTTAAAAGATTTTATTTTTACATAAAGAACTGGGGTGTAGGCCAGAGGTGCAGGGTAGGGGTTAATGAAATCACCAGAGACAAAGTGGGGAGTAGCACAGGCAGATCTGCTCCACAGTCTAGGGCAGTTCCTTGGCTGTGGATTTAATTTGGGGCCTAGTACTGAGGCTTAACCCCTATTCCACGAGGGAGGGCCCAACACTGAGTTTTAAGACAAAACCAGACCCTGGGTCAAAATGCAGTCACTGACTTTGCCTGGTCATTTTGGAACTGAATATTGCAGGCCCTAACCAGAGAGATGGATGAGGTTTGGGTGTTGAAGGTGGCTCATTGACAAGTCTTGGTTATATTTAGATGCATTATGGGTCCTGTAAGGCTGGTTCCAGGAACATTCAAAGGAAAGGGTGTGTTCCTGAGGAACATGGAAATTGCTGAGCCTGTGCTCCCCAACACCTGCCTGGATCACTGTGGCATCTGTGCCCACAGACCCTCAGCTGTCCACTGACCTGAGACTGGCTTGTTGGAGAGAATACAAGGTCATCTGTGGGAAGCAGGGCCTTTCCAGTAATTCTTGAGTTGTCTGATAGCAAGCCCTGGAATCCAGGAGAGAGGCGGCAGAGGCTCCTGCTAGGAGCTGAGGGCAGTTCCCCACAGGCCAGGTATCCTCACACTGTGAGTGCCGCTTGTGTTCCCAGGGACAGTCCCCAAGCACAGGCCTTCACAAAGTTTTTAACATTGTTCTCCTTTCCAAATCCTTAGCCGAGGAGCCCTCAGAAGCACCGGAGTCACCGCCCCAAGGGAAGGAGTCCGAAAGTCCTCCACAACCAGTGTTGCCAGAGGCCCCTACTGAGCCATCTCGGCCCAAGATGACCCCGCTACCGAGCAGTCCTCTGCTTCCCAAGGACCAAGGACAGCCCAAGCGACCGCTGCAGCCGCCGCTGCCAGCACGACCAGGCTGGGCTGGGCTGCCCTTCCTGCCGGGCTCCACCGGGGTCATTATGGAGACTGGAGAAGCCGGTCCTCCAGGGAGGATGGGCATGTCGGGAAGAGGCCTGCCCCAGGGGGTGGATGGCCAGACAGGGCAGGGGCCCATCCCCAGCGCCGAGGGCTACGCTGGAGCACCAGGTAGGAAACCACATTCGAGGGGTAGCCTGGCTCTGCTGTAGCCCTTGTGGGCCAGTGTCCACCTTCAGGGGCACAAGGTCCAAAAATCTCCCATAAGTGTGAACTCATGCTAATCAGGCACCCAGAGGCTGGGGTACCCAGGAAATTAGAAATGGACAAGAATCTGGGAAACTAAACATGTACCAGGAGCTCGCACAGCAGAAAAACAAGCTGCACTGGGAGCTTCCTAACATCAAGGCTGGTTCCTCCACTGCAGTGTGGGGATAACAGGACCTTAGGGAGTTGCTATGATTGAGAAAAGCCTAAAGAAAGTCCTGGTGAGCTGGTAAAGTCAGCTCCCAGGTGGTGTGGGACAGTGCAGTGCTGAAGGTGGGGAGGAGGGAGAGACCCACAGAGCACCAGAACCTGAACCAGGTGCTGGCTTGGCACGGACACGCGTGCCCTGAGTTCATACAAACAGTCCGAGCCCCACTGGACTTTTTGCTAGCAGCACTTGGTCACCAGCAGGCATCACCTGGGGTAGAGACCATCCCGGAGCACCAGGGCTGCTGGGAAGGACGTACCCTTCCCCCAGCGGGCTGTGCAGGCTTTGCTCCTGTTCGCGGAGCCCTGCACCCATGGCTGTCTCCAGGGCAGAGATTGGGTCCCTGAAGCTCCAACAGCCCATCTTCCCCTCCTTTCTCCCAGCCAGTTCACCCTAAGGGAGAGCAGGCTAGTGAGGAGGCAGGCCCTGGGGGTGCAGTTGGACTTGCTTCTAGGAGGTTACTTGGATGGGGTTCCCTCGCGATACCTTGGGCTCTTAAAGATTGGGAGGAGCAGGGAGAAAAGGGATGAGAACCAGGTGCTGTTTAGCTTTGGCCTGACATTTCCTCCCATTTGATCTTTCAGGATACCCCAAGTCGCCTCCTGCGGCCTCCCCAGGTAGGTCTGCTAAGACACCAGGCGCAAGCAGCAAGGCTGCTTCTGCTTGCAGCTGCCTCCCTCCGGGCTGTTAGGGGTTGGCCCATTCTCCACTCCTTTCTCTCCTACCAGTCCTGGGGCTGGGCCTCTGCAAACCCCAAGGTGTGTTCCTCAGGGGATCACCAGATTCCCAGGGCTCAGATTTTATTTAACAAGCAGCTCCCTACCTTGTTCCATTATCCACTTCTCCCTGCATGTGTGTACACCGGTAGGCAGAGCTGCCATACAACTGCTCTGTGCCCATCCCACTGCCCAGTCTAGCCCCAGGCATGAAGACGTGGGGAGCAGATATCCCTGCAGCACACACAGACCTCAGCTTTCCAGGCCCCAACTCTTGCCCCAGGAGTCTTGTGGTCACCTGGCTCCTCTCTCTGCTCCAGGGCTTCCGGTGCCTTCTGTGGTGTCTTTCTCTGCGGGGCTGACCCAGAAGCCTTTTCCCAGTGAGGCGGGAGTCGTCCTCTTTAACAAAGTGCTGGTCAACGATGGGAACGTGTACAACCCTGATACTGGTGAGTGTGGGTGGGCCCTGTGCTCCAGCTGGCTGCAGGCTAGGCGGAACGCCCAGGCCCTGGGGCACACTGAGGAGAGCTGGCCAGTCACCCTTCCCCATTTTATAGGGACTGCAGGAAGTGGTTTCCAGCTTGCAGGATGGATGTGAGTGTGCAAGTTTTCTAGTCATGAGGTCAGCACCGCCGTGAGGTCTGGCAGCTGGAGCTGCTGTCTGCCCCTCTCCCACAGTATCTGACCAATTATCGTTAACACTTGGGACAAGGCCATCCATGTACCACCTCCTTCCAAAGTTCCTGGTTTAGGAAGAACCGAACCGGTTAAGTAGATGCCCATCAAGGGCAGTGAGGATGGGTGTGACCCCCAGTGCCTGTGGAGCAAGGTTCCTCCTTCCCACCAGCTAGACATGGCACTTCCTTTTGTCCAAAAGGGAAGGCTGGTACCCCTTGGCCTACCCACAGCCCCCCCCCCCCCCCC